AAAATGTCATATACAGAGCGTAGGTTTACTTAATTACGTTATCCAGTTGTAGTAGAAACAGCACACCAGACATCCAATGAAAGTGTAATTGCGATGTGTTTTTTTTATATTAAGTGTTTCATAAATAGACAACCTTCCATTTGTATATATAATATTCTCTCATTCATATTGTTTTCCTCACGTTAATTGCTCACGTGTTTCTAGTTTAACGTTGTTGTAAACCTTTGACTTCATGCAACAGACCCAAGAATGCCAGCTGCTATTGATAGCTCACATCCACTGGAGAATAGAGACTCCACATAATACACAATACACTTTAAATAATAAAGTAGTAAAGATCTCTGCTATCAGAATAGTAACGCCTACTACTTAACTACCGCAAAAACCTTGAAATAAGACTAAGCAACGTTTGTCTCGATAGTAACGATATTAAATAAACCTGTAAGACATGTGTTTTTTATTCTTAACAACCCAGAGAGCAGGTGGAGAAAGTTCGTTGAATATCTTACGGGACATTCTGTATACAGATAACGCTTTATATATGTGTATACATACATACATGTGCGTATGTATAATAAAATTGTGACAGTAATTAAGACATACGTTATTTCATAAATAATGAAAGATCATCAACAGTTTATTGCTCCTTTTATCGCTATAAATAAAAAGTGGAACATTGTATTATAGTCTCTATTTCATTAAGTGTCAATTTTGATGGCAATACACAATTATTATCGTTACCCAGAATGGTAGTAACATGTTGTTCAAAGTGGACGATATACTTGCTCCCGAAAACTGTGTTGCGATATTCTTGACACATGGGATATGTAAAGGATATTTATGTAAATATTTTTAAGTCATATATTTGACGATTCTTAAAAGATATTATACAGAAGCCATAGAGGCGTATAACTTTATCGTTCAAATTGTTAATAGTAATAATATTTGAGTTTATAAGGTAACAAAATGCTGCAGACTACCAGCTACAATGCACCGGTCATCGTGCTGTAGTCAATTCGAAAATAAATAAAAATCGCACGCTCCAAAATTATGGTATTGTTGGTAGATTTAATCCGTTCCTTTCATCGGATATACAAAAATCAATTGTTCGTTTTTTTTACATATAAAATACATGTAGATTAATCGTGTATAAGTACAACAGAATATTATTGACTACCACAGCCTATGGTGCACGTGATCACGAAGCGAAGGCTATATATAAATTAATGTTTTACGTTGAATCATATTGCACTTACCACTTTCTGTGGTAGCATATTCTGCCATGTTAAGTATATAATACTAAGAATCAGCAAATGAAAATTAATAGCACAGCAAAGTATGAATTTTCCTAAGTTCCTGCGTTCCTACATTGACGGTAAGAACTTGTCTTTGACCATCTTTCTGTGGAATTGTAATTTCTGCAGCGAGCAATTGACTTTCTTGTATTGCCGCAGCCATTTCACGATTAGGGAATACAGCGAAATTAGCTTCGGCCATTCCACCTACTGTTTTCTTTATAACCTCTTCGAGAACTTCGTCCTAAAAAAAATTCACATATCAAGTTATTAATTTTGAATTGCAAACAATTATGACGACTCTACACTTTTTCACTAACTACAATTACTTACGATCAAGTGATCAGCTCGTTCTTTTAATTCTTTCATAGCAATCTGCTGTTTTAACAATTGATAAATTGGCATTGTGTGCTTTAATATCGGACCTTCCAAATCATGTGCCTTATTACGTCTTAAATCAGGAACGACAGGGAATGTCATAGCTTGTTTAATATCCTAAACAGTAGTGTCACAATTTTAGTTAGAATTAAGTAAATGTAAAAAATGTAAAAGACTATTTTTTGAATTGTCCATTAATATGATAATTATTAACAATAATAAGTAGTAGTAACAATGCTATATCATCGTACATCAGAACTTGGCAACTTACTTTATTTAGGTCGTTAGTTTTTTGTTTCAATTCCTGTATCTTAGCATTAATTGATCTTGATTCTGACGAAGGAGTTATCGGATCTAAGCTCTCCAATTTTTGACGTAATACGCCAGACATTAATTTCTTCTTTTGTTGGTTTTCACTGTTCAAAGCTTCCTTAAGAGCGATTATTTCTTGCATCAAGAATTTGGTGTCTAACGATTGAATTTCAGATGTTGCTGTCACATTTCCGGACATGTTATCTACTCCGGACACAGACATCATCGTCTTCTTTCCGACAGATTTTAACTTTTCCTTTAACTGACCTCTCTCAATTTCCAAACTATCGATATCCGTTTGGAGGTGGTCCATCGTTTCTTCAAATTCTTTTTCCTTTCGTTTCAGTTGGTTCACTGCCTCGTCTAATTTTCTCTTCAATTTTTCTACATTTAATTCATGCTCGCGCTGCTGATTCGCAAACTTTTTCTCCGCAACATCCTTCCTTAAAATCATTTGACATAATTCTTCTTGTTTCTCTCTGAGAGTTAATCTCGCTTCGAGGATATCGTTATCTCTTGTCTCCAGTTTCCGACTGAGTATCTTAATTTCTTCGGCTTCCTTTTTCGCTACTTGCGCTCTTACTTTAATAGGGTGTATAGATTCATTATCTAGATTTTGTTCTTGTTGTTGCGATAATTGTCCACTTATCGCTATCTCGTTTTCACATTCGGCCATTTTTTGTGCTAGATTGGCGGCTAATTGTTGAACGACTGTCAAACTTCCTTTAATAGTAGCTACAGGTCCAACATCTTCGGTATCATAAACCTTCTCGCACGCTATGGAGATCATTTCCTTCAACTTATCCGCACCGAGTCCTGTATCTAAATCGCCGTTCGTGATAATTGCTTGCACAGCACTCTTCAGGAAAGTCTGCAAAGTTTTCATCATTTTCATAGCATGGTGATAACACGTAGAAACTTGTTCACTTGAATCTTTCTCCAGTCCCAAATTAGATTCGGCTGCATGAAGTGCAGCAGCATGGTCCGTGAATACTCTTCTTCTAGCAGATTTTAAGTGTTGCTGAATTACTTCGCACGTCGTCTCCGCATGTTGACAAAGAAGACCTATGTCGCCACTGTCTCCCTGAATTAGAGTCTTAATGGCCGCGGCGTCCGTTGTAATGGCTTCGCAAGAGCTTTCCAACATTCTCGTACTATTAACTACCAAGCGGGCTTGGTTAATGGTTTCTCCGAATAACACGGAGAACATAGTACAAAAGTATCCGCAACACTTATCGATGGCATCCATTGGTAGATTCTCATCTAATTGATCTCTCTTGGCCAAATCTATCAAAGCATCTAAAGATTTTTCCTGCGCTGCCATTTCTGGGAAAGCTGCTCCAACTTTAAGTAACATTTCAGATGTACAAACACTCAGTGCGGACTCGAAGCAACCGAGGAACGTTTGTAGCGCGTACATATATGAACATAGACGCGATCTGAAGGTATATTGTGCTACCAAATGACCCTTCAACACAGCCGCTCTATCTATCTTATCCAGCGATCTATATTTCTCTCGCACCTGTGATATAAGTATCTCGGTTTTTTGTATCATTCTTGGTATAAGCAGAAGCGTTAGAATAGCATCGTGATCTCCACCGCGCGCTAAAAATGCTGGACTCATAAAGGATAATAAATATTTCACGTGATTTCGTGCTTCTTCGACTTCTAATCGTCGTAATTCAAGATCGACAGCCTTTGTGTGCGCTCGGGTTTCGGCGAAAGTCTTTTGGAAATCTAAAATTTCTGCTAATTGTTGCTCTGTGCCTCCTACACCAAGCTTCGAGCTTTCTGTTGATTGTACGCGTTGCTGCAATTGTAAACACTGTTCCTGTAATTGACGCGTGAGTTCGCGGAACTTTGTAATTGTTAATTCACGATCCGCTAATGTTTCTAATGCCGCATCTCGATGCCGATAAGCATCACGTGCTGCTCCAACAGCTAAATCCAATTCTTCCCGCAACTCTAATTCTAATTCTTTCGATGATTCAGCAAGTTGATCGGACATATCCTGAATAGAAAGATAATTATATTTTAATAACAATCATTTAAATAGTATTTTCACAAAAATCATACCTGTAATGCTTCTAAATCTGCTACAGCTTCTTCCAATTCTGTCACTTTCTCCTCCAGCATCATTTTTTTCTCACCAAGTACTTCGACCATTTCTTCAGCACCCAAAGCAGCATCTACCTATTCGATAAGCCGACAAATTTTCATAAGTAACAACGAAAATTTCACAGCTAAAACAGCTGTGTTTGGTATTTTTCGTACTTGTTCTTGCAAGTCCGCTATCTGATGTTCCATTTCTTCTACTCGTGAAGACAATTTTTCCTTTGTGCGACCGAGTTCTAATATTTCCGACTTCTTTTGATCTAAATCTTTTTGAAGTTTTTGAAATTCATGTTTCTCGTGTGCGGAAAGATCTCGCATCCGAACGAGAGTTTCTCGTAATCGATTGTTTTGTTGTTCTAATTGTTTTATCTCGTAACTGGAAACACCACCAGCTGAACCACCTCCTGCAGCCTACAATAATTCCATAAGAATTTATACATTAATAACCACTATAGGATATAAATTACAAAGAATGCTTTACCCTGTCAGACATTTCTGTTCGTAATATTTCAAGATCCAATGTTTGTTCTTCTAATTTTTCTTTCAGTTGTTCCAATTCAATTTGCAATGTTTCAGCCTTTTCTTCTGCCATCTCTTTATCTAATGTTGCCATTTCTACAGTTTCTGCAAGATCTGCCATTTCTTCTTGAAACTGTTCTCGAGCTGCGTGTGCCTCTCTTGCTTCCTGACGCGCTCGTTGAATCTCCCTTTGAAGACCGGCCTTCCATTATGAAAAATAAAAATAAAAAAAGTTAAAATTAATGGAAAACATAAAGCCCCTTTATAACTGCTCCGAAACTTCTCATTACCTGGCTCTCCATAACTTTCGTTTTAAATTCGAGAAGTTGGTCAAGTTGAAGCTTTGTTTTCTCAAAGTCTTTCATTCTTTCTTTATCTTGCATTCTCTTTACTCGTAAAGTTTCCACTTTTTCAGTCAGATCGCGAACCTACGAATACATTAAAACAATAATTTATTGAACGTTGCATTAATTTTTTTGCCATTACTTGACCAGGTACAAATTGTGGTTTCAAAGTCTCTACAAAACCTGTCTAAATTGCAAACAAACAATAAATGAGACTATATTTTAACATCGGGTGTTTCTTTTATTATCGCACTGAAAACATATACATCTTATTAAAGAACTGCTTCAGATCCATCAGCATACCTGGTATACCCTAAGATGCTTTATTTCAACTTAATAATTCGTGAATGATGCAACCGAAGATACAATCTTTTACCGGCGGTAATGAAAAAAACACCCTGTTGTACTTCCTATACAAAATATGTTTTAGAAAAATGTTGTTTTTGTATGTACATTCAGTAGAATTAGTCTATTTTAAAGTGATTAATGAGATTAATTGCGATAAAAGACACCAACAAGCTACACCGAATATTCTATTAGTTCTAACAAGTGTTGGAAATTCAGTCAATGAATTGAGTTATGTTATATGACATTGGAATTTACAATAGGTGTAATATCGACTAAGTCATCTATTGTGTCCTAACCATATATAATAAATATCAATTACATTTATACCAAGAATATCTAGGTCATGGTAAAAGATAATTAAATAAAGAGAAAGAGAGAGTATATACAGCAGGTTTATACCAAAATGCTGTTAAATGCCTATTCATGGAAAAACTGTTATTATATCACCTTGTTCATGTAATTCTAAGGAGGATTCATTCAGCATCTAATTGTTAAAGAAAAAAGAAAAAAAATGGAAACTCAATCGTATATATTTAAGTACCCCTTCTTTTTAAATGTTTTAGACTATCAAAGCATCACAGAACTGTATTAACAAAGCAGATGCTTAATGAAACAGTGAATACGGTAGAGGATAATCAATTTCATAATCCATTAAGAAGAGGTAAACCCATCAAAGTGCAATGATGCTAGTTGTTATGAAGTCATGTTATGAATTAATGCTTATGATCAACAAACAACTAGTATGAGAAAGTTTGAGGTCAGATGAGAAAATTTAGATATTACAATTAATGAGTATTAATTACATTATTGTGATCATCTTGGGCCTTTGGCTTTTTGCCGGGAGGCGAGCTCGTGCTAGGGGACTTCTGAAACACGTACGTGCATTCCCATATGAATCATTCTGTGCCAACGGAATTGTTTAACATGTACTCAAAATTTAAAGTTCACTATCCTGCCTTATCGATGTATCTATCGTGTTTAAAAATCTATTTGCCGTGGTTTAATTTATCGCCGAGTCACAGAATAAGATTCTCTGCATATGATAGTAACAAACATGTAAGTTGCTTTGAATAGTTCAGAAACTTAAAGGTAGCAAAACCAATGGCTTTCTGTTAATTTGATTGTGAAAATTTTCTCACATTTACATGTATATTTATATTTTATGGAAGACCAAATAATGTATTCATGCCTTGTTGAATCCTCAGAATAATCAATTTGCTGTGTTCACATAAATAATTGGTACATCAACTTATTATTAGAATTAATCACGTAAAAATAATCATATTTAAAACAAAAAGCAATACCTCAATAAATGAAGCTCGTTTAGTGGAAGTTGGTGCTGGTATAAGTGACTCTCCTCCATCTTTACGTTCATGTTGTGATCCAGATAAACTTTCTGTACTTCTAGCACTTAAAAGTGTTCTACTACCAGCCAATGATAGTCTTGAGCTGTAAAAAATGCAGTGTAAATATCTTCTTAGCAAAAAAAAATTTAAGCAATGACAATACTAAACCAAAAAATATAGTACTGTGTTAACACCATTAAAGTTACATTCCTTTGCACATAAATTACATAAACTCTTAGAAGCTAGGAAAACATTAATAAATTACAACACAACTTAGACATACATTACCAATTAAATACAATGTGTATATATATATTGCATTATTTGACATTTTTCATTAAAAATTACATTACTCAGATATAAACTACCATAATACTTTTCTCAAAGTAAAAAAAAATGATGAACCAATTGCCACACTTTATTCATATGCTTATTAATATTCCTTATGCATTTACAATATTTGAAACATTATCAAAGTTGGAGTATGATTACAAGCCTACAATGAATAAAGCTTATGAAAATCATGAACATTCATGAATAGCAATAATGATTTTTGGCTGCTTACACACATAAAAGCATTTAAGAAAAACATTAAGATAGATCTCTCAGCGGTCAATTTACACAAATTCTTACCCAGATAGCTTGTCAGATTGCTGCCTGTTATGGGCAGGAGATGCTTTTCTCCGTACTCTTTTATGACCAGCATATGAATTTTAAGAATCTATTAATTATACTTGCCTTTTGATACCTATTTCTTTTTATTATTGCTCGTATGAAAAATTTTACAAAGAGGTTTGGCATGTTAGTTTACAAACTATAAATTCTAATTAATGATTTGAAACAGTAACTTACGCAGTAGGTTCATTCCTTCGACGTGTACTAACGCTAGCATGAAATTTATGACAACATAAGTTAATGCATAATCACACACAATACATAAGACTATTCTAACAAACAGAATAAATAGCAAACATATGGTAAAATCTTTGAACATTAAAAGCTGCAATACCTATTCAACCGACTTCTAGCACGTGCTGCACTGATCTCATCTGGTGTTGTTGCACTACTGCCTGCTGAAGATGGGCTAGCAGGTTCGGTTCTATTACCTGCTTCATCCAATAAAATGAGTTGAGATTGTCGTACAAACATTCCATGATTTTCAGCACACTGTTACATAAAAAAATGTACAACTAAAAGATTACGTTATACAATTATTTTATTCTCTATATTAGTGTAAAAATACGGAAACCTACTTTAAAATAAGATTGATTCTTGATAGTTCCATTATTTTTTCCTTTAGGCTCATCAAGTATGACACCGATCCATTTTCCTGAAGCAAAAGTCGGATGACCAATATAAGCAATTACTCCTTGACAGTCTTTACTAGGAACCTCGACACGCTGTCCAATTTTATACGACATTTCAGCCGTGACAGATTGCTACACGTATCTTTCTATAATTCATTTATTCTAGAATAATTTGTTTAAATATTTTGTTTAATTATATACTCTCTCAATATATACAACTCAAATGATACGGATTAAATTGTATTAACAGCAAACGCTACAGTACTAACTATAACAAAATCTGTCGACAGTTTATGTACGTCAGTGGTATTCGCTTCTGTTCTACGTGTTGGTATAATTATAAAGTTTGATTTTCCACTTCCAACTGGACAATTTTTATTATACTTTTAATTTGTATTATTTTACTGAAACCTAAAATGTTAAAATTCTAACATAATCGTTTGAAATGTTATGATTGATTCTCATTTTATTGCCGACTAATGAATACCACCACACTAATTCTCGTTACTATTCGCATAGATTTTCTTCGAAACTATCTAGAATAAAAATGTAGTAAAAAATATTTTTCGTCATATTTCTCTCTTCTTAATTACGAATACTTCATTGAATTTTGTTTAAAATATTTGTTACGAAAAGAGGTATGATTTTTATACCGAACAATCCAAAATAAGAACACTACTTATATCCAAAAAAATACTAGGATAGTGTCAAAAGAAGATATTTTCTTTCATATCGTATGCATTAACTTGTTATTAAAATTTTTTAATAGTATAGAAATAAAAGTTGTACAATTATATTTTTTACAAAAAAGACTGCGTTAAATTTTTAAGTATATATAAAAATTTGCCCAAAACTTCTCATTGAAAATTATGCCTAGGGCACAAAATTATTTAATTACGCCTTTGAAAGTATACATGTATATATCTATATCTATATGTATATGGCATCAAAATAATACGTTAAAGTTCTTGCAAAATAACTATTTTTTAGGGTGCGTACATGTGCCAATTATTTGCACCGTTGATTCGATAAACATCAACGACACATGGAATGGGAATAAAAACTATTATGAAGGATTATAAAGTTTTATTAATATTTGGTTAAGATGACGTTTTGGTGGCATCGCTGACATCAAATGTGTTTTTCTTTCTACTTAACTTCATATCTGCTTAATAACAAAGTAAATTATTTGATAGCAGTGATGGCTAATCATTACGAGGTACCCAATTGGTACGTTTGCAAAATTTTTTTGAAATTTTCAAATAATCACTTAAAGCAGTTTACTGAACAACACATAATGATACTTGTAAATAAAGGAAAGATCGAATATAGACTACACAGGTTATGCTTTTCAGGGCTGGGAAGCCACCAGTTGGATTACATTTAGATGTACTGAAGAATGATAAATTAATTCAAGTATGAAAGTCTTATTCTGCACTAAATAATATAAAAGTTCTACATATTTTTGAAGGGGTACTAAAAATACTAATTATTTTGTTGCAGAAATTAATGGTTGATGAAAAAAAGTGTTACTTATTTGGTCGTAATCAACAATTGAATGACTTTTGTATAGACCATGCTTCTTGTTCCCGTGTTCATGCTGCTCTTGTTTATCATAAACACCTAAATCGTGCATTCCTTGTTGATTTGGGTAGCAGTAAGTATTATATGCCTATATTTAATTCATATATGTTCCATAATATTCTTATTGATAATAATTGTCGATTAAAAGAAAGGGAATGTAAGGATAAAATAGAGCAATAGATAATGTTTAAGTTATAAATGTTGCAAACATCTCTCAATTGTACAGCACATGGAACTTTTATCGGCAATCTTCGTTTGGAACCACATAAACCCACACAATTACCAATCGATAGTACATTTCATTTTGGAGCTTCTACTCGGTATTATATTATTAGAGAAAGACCTCAAACAGGTACCAGGCCTATTATCGAGGAATTAGAAAAACTATCAGAAGACACAGATGCTGGTGGTTTATTGGGCTTGCCTGAAACAGAGACAGAACTTGATGTATGTGTTCTATAAAGTGGTGTTTAAATCACATTATTAAAGCATATAGTAATAATTGTGCCTACCGCATTAAATTACAGAATTTAACGGAATTTAACACTGCGCATAATAGACGTATATCTATGCTCGGTATAACGGACGACGAAATTCATAAACCAACAAGGAAACGAAAGAAAAAAGGAATTACTTTCAACGATGACGAGGAAGTAATAAATCCAGAAGATGTCGATCCGTCGGTAGGAAGATTTCGTAATCTTGTACAAACGACCGTCGTTCCAAGTAAAGTGAGAATCGTTTTCATTCAGAATTATAATTTCTTATACCGTCCATCTGTATTATTTAATACACTTGTCGTTGACTTATATTTTAGAGAATGCGTATGGAAGGAGGTTTAATATCCTTATCAGAAGATCACAATCCTTTGAAACACCTTCAACCCACAGCAACTGCACCTCAACTTTATCAAGATTTACCCCCGGAACAGTTTACTCCATCGTCGTTATCACTTAATCCATTTTCTAGTGCTTTGTCTTCGTTATCGTCTCGGCTTGGTATTGCATTGCCGAATCCAGCACCTGAAGTAGAAATGACACCTAATCAAATACAAACGGAAGCGCCGCACGTACCAGAAATACAGGGACCTACCGATACGCGAACAATGGAACCGAAAAAGAAAAAATATGCCAAAGAAGCTTGGCCTGGGAAAAAACCTATACCAACGCTTTTGGTGTAATAGTATTAAGGAGTTTACTTTTGCCAGATAGTTTGACTATTTGGATTTTAAGGATTAAGTTATATAAAAATATTTGTGCATAAATTCCTCGTATAAAGATTCAGGCAAACGTTTTGTTAATATTAATGTTATTAAAACTTCAATTGAAGTTTTGTATTTTAAGCATAACTGTATAGTTGTATTTTAAACAGCAAACCCCACTACCTTACTCAATTCATTTTCATACATATACTTCATGTTTTTCATCCTTGATCGATCAACTTAATTCTTTCGCAAAGATCCAAACGAAACGAAACGAAACGAATTGTAATTAAAATATCTTGTAAGATAAATAAACACAAATGAATAGTTTTATCTTACTTTAGTTTTAAGGAAAATATACGATATAGTGTTAAGAAAATGTTACAAGAACTTTTTTGTGATACAATACTTAAACCATTGCTTCGTCGCATATTTTATTTTGCAGAGTATGCGTAACAACTTGACAATCGAAAAAATTGTCTCAGTTTAGGTATTATAGCCGGTAATGTGTACGTTGTTACGTTCATGTACAAACGGTATTTACAAAGTAATCTATATTTTTTGCAATTAATAGCACGATAATGATTCTCCCATTCTCACAAAGCTGTGTTACTTGTTTTCAAAAGTGGCGAATAATTATTATAATTATTAGTGCAATAATTATGTCAACTAAGTTCTAAAAAAATGCTGAAGTTTTTAATAAATTTCGCTTCTGCTACTCGTGAAAAGGAGAAACATGTATCTCCGTAATTTGTTGCGTTTTATTATAATACTCCAGACAAAGGTATCGCGTTTCCAACAGGTCAATATTCGCCCCCTCACTTTACATCGAAGAATTCAAAGATAAATTCGGAGGTATATCTTTTTTAATTTCATCGATGTTAACAGTTGTATAAAAAGAAAATTTTAATTATAATAAAAAGATAAAAATAAATAAATCATAAGACATAAAGAGAGCATGGAAAGGTGGTATTTTTGTTTTGTTTTGCACATGATTAATTTGTATGGTTAGTTCGGGTAGCTGGAAGATGCCGGAATAGACTTGAATGGACTGGACCACGACGTATTTATGTTTAAAATTCCAGCGAAGCGTCCGGTGTGGTTGACGATTCGAGTGCGACTTCTTCGTAATCTCTCTCTAACGCAGCAAGATCGTCGCGCGCCTCCGTAAATTCTCCTTCTTCCATACCTTCGCCGACATACCAATGAATAAACGCTCGTTTGTGATACATCAGATCGAATTTGTAATTTAATTTTGCCCATGCTTCCTCGATAGCGGTGGTATTCGACAACATCGATACCGCTCTTTGTACCTAAACGATATTCGATTACTTTAAATATCGATCGACTTCATTTCTCCGACTACATATGTATGTCTCAATTATAGAACACAGTCATACACCAGTTACATACTACGGAATACTTGTTCTTTAATTATTGTCCATCCTGAGATATTTATGTAATAATTGATACCTTGGCAAGGTCTCCACCAGGCACAACGGTAGGCGGTTGATAATTGATGCCAACTTTGAAGCCAGTCGGACACCAATCGACGAAACGTATGCAACTTTTCCTTTTCATCGCGGCAATAGCTGCGTTTACATCTTTCGGCACGACTTCGCCGCGATAGAGTAGGCAACAGGCCATGTATTTCCCTTCGCGGGGGTCGCATTTTACCATTTGATTCGACGCTTCGAAACATTCCGATGTTATCTCCGCGACAGACATCCCTTCGTGGAAAGCTTTGTCAACTGATACAACCGGGGCGTAAGTCGCCAAGGGGAAATGAATTCTAGGATAGGGTACTAAATTCGTTTGAAATTCCGTCAAATCTACGTTCAAAGCACCGTCGAACCGCAGAGAGGCGGTTATCGACGATACCACTTGACTGATAAGTCGATTCAGATTCGCGTATGAAGGCCGTTCGATACCAAGCTTCCGCCTACAAATGTCGTAAATTGCTTCATTGTCCACCATAAATGCGCAATCCGAGTGTCCTATTGTAGTATGAGTCGTCAAAATTGCGTTATACGGTTCTACAACCGCGGTAGATACCTAAACATTACACGTTAGATAGCTGATTACATATCGATTTTTTTTTCTTCTAGAATTTTTGTCATACTTGTGGCGCAGGATACACGGCAAATTCTAATTTGCTCTTTTTCCCGTAATCGTCGGAGAGTTTTTGCATGAGTAACGAGGTGAATCCCGATCCGGTACCTCCTCCAAACGAATGGAACACGAAAAATCCCTGAAGTCCGGTACACTGATCGGTCAGCCTTCGTACTCGATCCATTACAGAATCAATTACTTCTCTACCAATGGAATAGTGACCTCGAGCATAATTGTTCGCCGCGTCTTCTTTCCCGGTGATTAATTGTTCTGGGTGATACAACTGCTTGTAACGTCCTATTCTTACTTCGTCTGTGCAATTACAATTTTCTCGTATTTTTTTTTACTTCAATTTCTATTATTATTACTCTTACTATCCTTATTATTAATTATTGTTATTAAACCAACCAACAACCGTAGGCTCTAGGTCGACCATTACAGCACGCGGTACCATTTTGCCAGAACTAGTCTCGTTGAAAAATGTGTTAAAGCAATCGTTTGTTCCGGACACTTTGTCTGACGGGATCGTTCCATCCGGTTGAATTCCATGCTCCAGACAATAAAGTTCCCAGCAAGCATTGCCCATTTGAACACCCGCTTGGCCCACGTGCATCGAGATACATTCACGCTGAAGCAAAATGCACAACTTCCGTCACGAAATCACCATTTTCCAAATACAATACGACAAACTTCTCCTACTTTTTAACTGTACATAACATGCTTAATAGAGAAAGTTCGTTACATTCTAGCTTACAGAGAGATTTACAACGAGCTGTTGAAACAGACACACGTGTAGAACACGTTTATACACTAAAGTAGGAGGAGATGAGTTTCGCTTAAATCTATCGTACCATTTTGAGAATTTTTTTCAGTAACACACGTTTCTTCCGACACTTTTTTTCAGATTTTCTCGGATTGTTCAATCGAAAAGGGATTCAAGAGTTGGATACTTTTTTTTTTTATTAATTACGAGGAATTTTGGAAATCGGCCATCCGCTACCCAAAGAAAAATACTGTGATAATTTATTTCAGTTGTCCAGGCAACGAACCCGCGTGCAATAGGAATAAAAGAAGAAAAGAAAGTTGAAAACATTATTATGCGTCGTTTTTGTTCGATTTTTTACGTATCGTGCGTCGATTGAGAAATATCGGTCAAATAACTATACATATATGTATTACATACATATATCATGTTTAATTATATTCTATTTCTACAATACGTAGAGTACGTCTTCTATGTAGCTACAGAAATTACGTTTTAATTGCAAATACATTTATTTTATTCACTTTATATCTGAGATACTATCGTTTATTTAACCCTAACGAACTTTTCTATATACACACACATGCATATATATTTTTCCTTAAAAAGTCCCTTACAATTTGTCCTCGTGCTACGTTTACCGTGCGAGATATTGACGAAAGGGGAGCGAAACATAACTTCGCTTCGTCTTCATTGTGGTCAACGAATTTGACTTCTCACACACATACCTCTCGACGCATACTCTGCAACCTCTAAAAATAGCCAATTAAAATAAACTGTCAACGGTCAGCATAAGTCAATGACCTTGACATTTTCGGCACTTCACATCTTGATCACACACTGTGCAATGCATCGCAATGATCTCAAGTGACTTACGTAATTACACTCAATCGATCATGCGCCTGTTTGCGCACGTGCCATGATTCGTTGGATCATTCTTTGGTAGGTTCCTTCCTATCTGTACTCGTAACAGGAAAACCCTACCAATCGGTCTAGAGAGTCCGAGTTTCCTACTCATCACTCTTCGATGATGACGCGAATCACTGTTGTATTTGCGTGAACGTAATGCCTCAGAGTGACTTGTGAACTATTCGGATTCTTTCGTGCGGCATGGTTTACTTTACTACAAGCAGTTGTATTATGTGTAATAGAATTGATCATGGATGCTAGTAAGAAATATGATAATCCTAATCCAAAGTTGTCAGCAAATCTCCTTAGTAAATTGATTTTCTGGTAAGTTTTTTACATCATTCATGAAAGAATTTTTTTTAAATATTACTATTATGTTTCTTTAACATATAATTGTTATATTTATATTTTATACTTGAGGTGGTTGAAACCCTTGTTTTCCTATGGAAGAACCCATGATCTTGAAATTAAGGATATTTACAATGTTATGCCAAAAGATGTTAGTCAGCATCTTGGTGATAAACTGGAAAGGTAAACATTAAACAAAGAATATTTACACAAGATTAATATCAATAGCATTGTTTAAGCAAAGTTGTACATATTGTAAAATTTGTTTGTGTTATCTCTACACTTAGAAATTGGATCAAAGAAGTTAAATCAGCAGAAGGGGCTCATAGAAAACCTAGTTTTTTCAATGCTTTAAGAAAAACATTCGCATGGTCATTTGCTTATTATGGAGGATGGCAGTTCTTTTTAGCAGTTGTTTTAAGGTAAAGATTTCTTCTATACCGCTCTGTTCTGTAATTTTTATTTACAAATAATGCTATTATAATGTTCTAGGGTTTTACAACCATATGTATTAGGTCTCCTCATTTGGCATTTTGATCCTAGAGCAATGTCCACTGCCACTCAGGCATACACGTATGCTTCAGCTGTTGTACTTATGTCTTTATGTATAGCTTTGATTACTCATCACTCTACCTTAGGTTTAATGGAAGTTGGAATGAGAATGAGAGTAGCATGTTCTTCTTTAATGTACAGGAAGGTAATATAAGTTATCGTTTTCAAGTATTTGTATATCAAGCACAGATTGATATCTTATCTATGCTAAAAGTATCTTTATTTTCAGATTTTACGTTTGTCAAAATCTTCTACCAATGCCACTACTCCTGGACAAATTATAAATTTATTGTCAAATGATGTAGCAAGATTTGAACAATTATTCATCACGTTGCATTACATTTGGATCCTACCTATTCAAGGTGCTCTGATTACTTTCATGATTTGGAAAAGCGTCGGAATTGCGTCATTAGCTGGTGTTTTTCTTATCAGTATCCAAACTATACCTCTTCAAGGTACGCGTATTATCGTCTATCGATATAACAAATTTTAATATGAAAAAAATTTTTCATATAATTTCATTTTATATTTTAGGATACATGGGGAAATGGATATCAAAGTTGAGATTAAAAATTGCAGTTAGAACAGACGAAAGAGTACGTTTAATGTCAGAAATAATTGGGGGAATTCAAGTTATCAAAATGTACACTTGGGAAAAACCATTTGAGAAGCTTGTTAGCCTTGTTAGAAGGTTTCCTTTCGTGTTTTATTATATTTTTATTGTAAAAAATGATCTATCGTTACATTACGTACGTGTTTAAATTCATAATTATTTTTCAGTCATGAAATAGACGTTTTAACGCTTACATCGTACTTACGTGGCTTTACCTTAGCTACTTTCGTGTTCACTGAACGAACAACGTTATATTTTACAATTATGGCGTACGTACTTCTCGGAAACAGTATATCTGCCGATAAAGTATTTTCAATGGCCCAGTACTTTAATATTCTTCAACTTACTATGGCAATATTATATCCTATGGCTGTATCAGCTGTTGCAGAAGCTTCTGTATCTATTAAGAGACTTCAGGTAAGACAAATAACCGCCAATCTTTTGTTCCTGATAAATTGTACGTAGTTTATACCATATAATAAATTTGCTTCAGAATTTTCTTTTGTTGAATGAAAATAATATCACCAACACAATCGACTCCAAACAACCCAGTGGAAATGGTGGTATCATAATGAAAGCTATTACAGCATCTTGGTCTGAAAATGCGATTGCAAAAACATTGTGTGATATTAATACTCAAATAGAACCAGGGAAACTTTGTGCTATTGTTGGTCCAGTTGGTGCGGGAAAGGTATGTAACATATTAAGGAATGATATCTTCACGATTTGTGATATTAAGTGTTTTCAATTTTCATGTACATTTTCAGAGTTCGTTTCTTCAATTAATTTTAAGAGAACTGCAACAATCACACGGAGAAATACGAGTAAATGGTAGCGTATCTTATGCGAGTCAGGAAGCATGGTTGTTTTCCGGCACAGTTCGTAATAATATACTTTTTGGGCAACCGTATGACAAAAAGAAATATAACGAAGTTGTTAGAGTATGTGCTCTCACTAAAGACTTCCAACAATTTAATTATGGAGACAAAACTTTAGTTGGAGATAGAGGTGCATCTCTCAGTGGTGGACAACGTGCGAGAATAAATTTGGCTAGGTAGGTACATACCAGTGAGAAAAAGAATCAATATCAACATGCCTACTTTGAGCTTATTCTGATTGTTGCAATAACAGGGCAGTGTACAGAAATGCAGATATTTACTTATTAGATGATCCGTTATCTGCGGTTGATACTCACGTGGGCAAACATTTGTTCAATGAATGTATCAAACATTATCTTCAGAATAAAACGAGAATTCTTGTAACTCATCAAGTACAACATTTAAAAAGCTGCGATTACATTATTGTATTAAATAATGTAAGTAGTAATAATTAAAATTGTCATTGTATTATTATACCATCGCTTCTATTACGATTTTCGTTTTAGGGTGCAATTGAATGTGATGGTACGTTTGCAGAGCTTCAAAATAAGCATACAAATTTCTTAAGTATGCTTTCAGTGGAAGAAAATAAAGGAGATGCAGAAGTTACAGAAGTCGATGAAAATTCTACCCCTGATATATCTATTAATTCCGGTAACAGTAAAGATGACGATGAAGCAGAACCAGAAGAAACAGAGGAATTAATGGCTAAAGGAAACATTTCTAAATCTCTTTATTGGAAATATTTCCGAGCCGGGGGTTCCATGCTGATGATCCTAACTTTCATATGCAGTTTAATTTTGGGGCAGACAGGAAGTAGTGGTTCCGATTATTGGGTTGCTTACTGGTCAGTATCCGTGATAATTATTTGTTTTTAATATAGAGAACTTGTTAACTTGTAATCTTATTAACTCGTCATCTTCTCAATTCTTTTACTCAGGACTAAACAAGAGGAAATGCGCATAAAAAATGATTATACTAAACACTTGTTGCAAATACAACCACAGAATTTCATTGTTCCTTCATCCGTTGATGAAGGAGATGTAGATAAGTTAGTGAATAAAACTGCAACTGATATGGATAACCTTAATGCTACACTTTCAAAAGTATTAGCAATGTCAGAGAATAGAAGTTCTGATAATGCTGTTAGTGACTTTATCTTGACCTTCTTTAATTCGAAAAATAACAATTATTTTTATTTATTTATTTATTTTATTGTACATAGACGTGGAGTATTAATGGAATATCCACTGATACGAGTTATCTCGATCGTGACACTGCTTTGTGGATTTATGGAGCTTTCATCATCGCCAGTATAGTGCTGACGTCGATAAGAAATCTCGTATTTTACAAGATATGCATGAATGCTAGTAAAAATCTTCACAATCTCATGTTTTCATGCCTATTGCAAGCGCCAATGCTATTTTTTGATACACATCCGTCCGGTAAATATCAAATGAAAATTATATTTTTGTTATTATGTGAGACACTTTAACGATAAAAATACAATATCGTAATCTTAAATTTTAGGTCGCATCTTAAATCGTTTTTCAAAAGACGTTGGGGCAGTAGACGAAATTTTACCGAGAACAATGATAGAATCCATTCAAATATTTGCAGTAATGATTGGAATTTTAACTCAAGTTCTTGTTATTAATTGGTGGACAGTATTTCCGATGCTAGTCATGGGTTTTTTATACTGGCAGATACGAAATATTTATCTTAAAACAGCACAAGACATGAAACGTTTCGAAGGAATTAGTAAGCATCTTGTAATTTACATTTACATTTAATATAGATACTAATTAAACAGTATTATTACATATGAGATTATTAACAATTATTTATGAAATTTTAGCAAAAAGTCCTGTCTTTTCCCATGTTACTTCTTCATTATTGGGACTAACAACAATTCGTTCCGCTGGCGCGCAAGATATGGTTCGTAAAGAATTTGATATTCACCAAGATCTTCATACTAGTTCCTATTACTTGACTATAGCAACGAGTACCGCTTTTGGGTTTGCATTAGATGTCGTGTCTATTGGTTTCATTGCCTTCATTGCGTACAGCTTCATTATTTTCGACGATGGTAATATCTTATTTTATATTATTATCGAAAAAATAATTAGCACGATGTAATTAAAATACATGTACATATTCGTATATTTTTAGAAAGCACATTTGCGGGAAATGTCGGCTTAGCCATATCTCAAGTACTAATCTTATGCGGGATGCTTCAACATGGAATGCGTCAAACTGCAGAAACAATCGCGCAAATGACAAGCGTAGAACGAATTCTACAATTTACACAACTCGATAAAGAGGGACCATTTGAAAGTGAACCTAATAAGAAACCGTCTTCACAATGGCCTTCTAAAGGAGAATTGAATTTTGATCATCTATATTTACGCTACGAAGACTCGGCGCCTCCGGTTCTCAAAGACTTATGTTTTGTCATCAAGTCTGGAGAAAAAGTAACTTATTGTTGTTGATAAAAAAAATTAGAAGATTATACAGCAAATCTAATTTATATGTTATATCTCTAGGTAGGAATAGTCGGTCGCACAGGTGCTGGTAAAACTTCTCTAATATCAGCGTTGTTTCGTTTGGCTAATCTGGAAGGTGCTATTCACATAGATAACTTTGACACAAAGCAAATAGGTCTTCATGACTTACGAAAGAAAATTTCTATTATCCCGCAAGAGCCTGTGCTATTCTCAGCAACACTTCGAGACAACCTCGATCCATTTCATAATTTCGATGATGCTACTCTTTGGGCTGCACTCGACGATGTAGAATTAAAAACGAGCATCTCTTCTCTAGATTATGTCGTGGAACAAGGGGGAGCTAATTTCAGTGTTGGACAAAGGCAGTTACTTTGTCTAGCCCGTGCAATCTTAAGAAATAATAAGATTCTACTCCTTGACGAAGCTACAGCAAATGTAGATCCTACCACCGACTTTTTGATACAAAAAACTATTCGGCAAAAATTTACGAATTGCACCGTCTTGACCATAGCGCACAGATTAAATACGATTATGGATAGTGACAAAGTGTTAGTTATGGATCACGGACAAGTACTCGAATTCGATCATCCATATGTTCTACTTAAAAATGAACAAGGTCACTTTACTTCTATGGTCAAGGAAACTGGCAAACTAATGTCTGAGCAACTGAAAAAAGTTGCAGAAGAGGTATGGCAAATTTTCTTTCATTTGCAATAACCACTTGCAGCAATTAAAATGTAATCTCAATTAATCTTTGTTGTATTTCAGGCTTACAATGGTATTTCCTCTCAATCAGAATTAAAATCACTACCACAAGTTCTCAATGGCAATACAGTTAAAGAGAATTAAAAGTTTCATAACTACCTGCATATATTGTTCCTACATGAATGAATGTCTATTTTTTTAGCATTACGTGTAACTGCACTTTTTGCAAACAGAACACTTAAATAGTATAAAATATATTTTGATGAATATTATTTTTTAATTACTACACCAACAAATTCTTAAAAAACGTGTTTAATGTAAAAACATTGTCCATGCACAGTGAAGGCATTCATAAGTAAGTTGATGTAAGATATGCTACACACCACCGTACTTTATACAATAATATTTTGATATTTTTTAAATATTTTATAATATAAAATATATTTTATATATTTTTCTTTAATATGTATTTATACACAATTTTATGAACAACATTGTATAATATTAAGAAAGATTGTTATATGTTAAATGTCATGTAAATCTAATGTGTAACTATTTAAAAATATTTTAATAAACTATATATACATGTTGCTCTAAAACTTTCCTACAAGCTTTTATAATCGAATAATTTTAACAAATTCATTCTTAAAGAGGTATTAGTATCGCTTGTTGTAACTAATAGAACTTCATTGTATAAGGACCACGAAAAATGTTTGATTTCTTTATTCACATTATTAAATTGTATAAAACATTAGATTAACCTAACAGCAGCACTTTTAACTAAATCTGCAACCGTGCTATATTGTATAATATGTTGAGAACCTGGCTCAAGATCTATTTCTTCGTCTATAGAACCAGGAAGCATGATTCCACTGACTTTGTTATTAGCCCTTAAAAATACATATGTTTGCATATTAGGTTTTACAGTTAATTTATTAACTTCAAATGCCTGAAAATTGCCAGGCATATGCTGCAAAGCAACTGTTCTAAAAAGTGTTTCGGCACTTGCAAGGAACTCTTTTGCAAATCGGAGCTCTGCAGCTGTTAGATAAGATTTTTCAGAAGACCTGTTTGCTTCTTGCGAGAGTATATGAATGGTGTATCTTTCAATTTTCTCCAATCGAGCCCTGAGATAACTAGATATCACGAACTTGATCCTATCTAACTCCATTCTATGAATCATTAATCTTATATCTCCTTTCTCTAACCTCTTCATGTTTTCTTCCATATGAGCGATCTGTTGCAGCATACAGTCAACCAAATCAAACTGGTGTGGTAAAATCTCAGGCGCGAATTTTTCATTCAACCAAGCTTCTTCTATCGCTACTAAAGCACTTTGTGCAGTTAATTCCTCCTCCTCTTCTTCCGCTGTCAATTGCGCTTCCAAATCATCTTCCATGTTTTTGTATGTTTCAGAGGAACTTGTTACTTGTTACTTGTAAAACACTAAACAACAAACACTTTGACTCGTGTGAACAATTATATTAATATGAATTTCAACACGACGACAGGTGGATACCACCACGTCACTCGTCGACCGCTCAACAATACATATTACATGCAAGAAATGGTTCTGTCATTTCAAACTGTACGATACGTATCATGTGATTGAATTCGATATTTCTCGTTATTCAAATTTAAACCGCAAATAAAATGTACCTTTACGTTTAAAATAAATAAACTAAAAGAAAAACCACGACAATGAGTTAATTTGTATTTTAAACCTTTTCGTCCGATTTTTGTTTTCGAGAAAAAAAAAATGAAAAAACGTTATAGCACTATTGAATCGCGATGTAATTTCGTAAGAAAACCGTATGAAATTCTATCGAAGAGTCTAAACGGGCAAAGCTAAACAACAAAAACACAGACGCTGTTATAATAAGCTTCTTACAGCATGAAACCATATTAAAGTTTAAATCTAAATGAAACTTCTACATATACATATGTAGTCGCCGAAATCGCGAGTCTTACTAACCCAAACACACACACACTTACTCCGATACTTAAATTTTCTCTCGAATTGAAAGAATTACGATAGAGAGGAAGAAAGAAGCTCCCATTTCTTCGAATATATTGAAACGATTAAAAATGTATGCGTTTAGGGATCACCTATTAGGCTGTTACTTGATTCAGAATGGTCAGAGGTATAGGAGGGTAGAAAGAGATGTAGAAGAAAGGTATGAAAGGATAAGGTGAACATTTGGTGTTCTGTTCCTATTTTAGCCTCATAAGGTTTCTGTGTGCGGCGTTAAAGATACACCAAGGTATTCTTAAATCCTCGTTAACTTAATAAAGTCCTTCTTAAGACTGTTTGCCGTCTTAGATCGCGTCAACAACATATAGAAAGGTAGACGTAGGGGTACATATGGCATGGTCAAAGTAAGAAATCGGTTCATATTTAAACGGAAGTCGGACGACGTTGACACGAGCCGCATCCAACAGTGGACCTAACAACCTACCTACATCCTTCTGCTAAATTTCAACAGCCCATTGTGGCCAGTCGGAACCAATCTGAGACGTGTACTTGGATTAGTTCGTTTTCGCACGATTTTCTCCAAGTAGCCTGAAGGTGAGATAGAGAGAGAAAGAGAGAGAGAGAGAGAGCTGACCGGAGAGAAAAAAGTGACTTGACGCTATTTTTTGAAAGTTTTTTCGCTTGTGAACGCGTTCACCAGTTATCGTTCGTTGAAGAAGGCATCGTTCTTATATTTTACAGATTCAACAATGACTGTCCTTTCGGGGCCCAGCTACGAAGCGTACTCATGGGGAGCTCAAGGTAGCAGGTTTGGTAACCAGACGGTGGTGGACAAGGTTCCACCGGATATGCTCCATCTGATTGATGCCCACTGGTACCAGTACCCGCCGTTAAACCCTCTATGGCACACAATTCTCGGCTTCGTGATAGGATTGCTTGGTTTCGTTTCCGTTTCGGGGAACGGCATGGTTGTTTACATTTTCCTTTCGACAAAAAGCCTGCGCACACCAAGCAATTTGTTTGTAATCAACCTTGCAATCAGTGACTTCTGTATGATGTTCTTCATGTCTCCGCCAATGGTGCGTGGATTAATTTTTCTCTTCTTTTTATTAAGAAAATTAATGAAAAAGATTCCTGATCAAACTCGGCTGAATTGAATTAATGTGATAAAAAAAAAAAAGAAAACGAAAAAGAAATTTAATAGAATCAGAGTGCGATATGATAGAATTTTTTGTCGATAGGTAATCAATTGCTACTACGAGACATGGGTACTTGGACCTCTTTTCTGCCAAGTCTACGCGATGTTGGGATCTTTGTTCGGATGTGGCTCCATATGGACGATGACAATGATCGCATTCGATAGGTACAACGTGATCGTCAAAGGTTTATCTGGCAAGCCACTGACTATTAACGGAGCTATCCTCCGTATACTGGGTATATGGATGTTCTCGTTAGGTTGGACCATCGCACCTATGTTCGGCTGGAATCGGTAAATCCTAACGTCTATAAATCGTTCACTAAATCCTCATTCGTAACTGACCATCGATCGTGAAATTTTTCCTCCCACAGATATGTACCAGAGGGTAACATGACTGCATGTGGAACCGATTACTTCAGTACAGACTTCTTATCCGTCTCCTACCTCATTATGTACAGCATCTGGGTATACTTGCTCCCTCTGTTCCTCATCTGCTACAGTTACTGGTTCATCATTCAAGCGGTCGCTGCCCACGAGAAGAACATGCGCGAACAAGCGAAAAAGATGAATGTCGCTTCTCTCCGATCATCCGAAAATCAGAACACCAGCGCCGAGTGTAAATTGGCGAAAGTATAAAAATGATCACGTTAAACTAATGCGAACATTTACCATAAGAAGATACACATACATATTTTACGGTATTATTCTAGGTTGCGCTTATGACCATCTCTTTATGGTTTATGGCCTGGACACCCTATTTGGTCATCAACTTCTCTGGCATCTTCAAGCTCGTTAAAATCAGCCCGCTATTCACCATCTGGGGTTCACTGTTCGCCAAGGCCAACGCCGTCTACAATCCAATTGTTTATGGAATTAGGTATGGATAAATCTTGTAAAATAACTGAGCTATTATTTTATTTTATCTCTACTGCTGATCTTCCCCCTTTTCTTCCCACTGTTCAGCCATCCGAAATATCGAGCTGCATTGTTCGCGAAATTCCCATCATTGGCATGCAGCCCTGAACCAGCAGCCACGGACGCAACATCAACCGTCTCTGGTACGACCACTGTCACGGACAGCGAAAAATCAAATGCATAAAACAATTCAACGCCGCCGCCGAAATTCTGTCCGACCATGTGACACGAAAGATCATGATCGATCGACAACTAATCAAATGCATAGATTCCAAATATGCCTGACTAGGTAAGGATGACACCAACTAACATTACAGACACGATTTGTAAATATTAATATCGGTTATAACATTGTGAAATACTTTTTTATCGACAACGGGAACATCTTCGAAATGAAAAAATATCGAATCGTAATTCGACGATTCGACAGAAAAGCGAACCCAGTATGCGGAATTGTATTACGTGATAATAAGTGAGCAATATTTGAATCACCTGTGATTTAATGTATGATTCGCATATCACCACAATGTGAACCATTTTACATCGATTCATGGGTGTGATTTTGATTTTGCACATTTTATTGCGTAACAATGTACATAGTCACTTTGGTATAGCAGGTACCGACTCTATGTTTACTAGATTAGTAAGCATATCATATTATCGTAAAATATGAAGAGAGCGTTGTATCTGTACCTTAATTTTATAAGAGAAAATAAATTCTGCAAGCAACAATCGAATTGAATTTTCTTATTCCCCCCCCCCCCCCAAA